GACGCACTACGTACGATGAAAAATCCTAGCAATAAATTATTGAGAGAGAGAGAGAGTGAGGAGAGAAACAGCAGTAGCTTTTCAGGGATTCCATAATTCCTTCATTTTCCGATTTCCTGTTTTTCCGGACTGATTCAGCTTTTCCCTGACTCCGAAAGTTTCGAACTCTCCGACTTTCTCCGACATTTGCATAAAACTTCCATCGACAATTATTTTTCCCCCTTTTAATTACTTTCGCTATTGCTAAACGCTGCCGACAAACGGACTTTCCGGATTTTCGCTGGAGACCCTGCACTTTTTTCGAGGGGGGGGGGGCGGCGGCGGCGGCGGCGGCCAACAATTGGTTCAGCGTGATTTTCTTGAACGATATAGAGATGTTTGGGGAATCGGGAAAAGTGTCTGTTCTAATGTATGGACGGTTCTTCACTTCCAAAGGACTCGCAGAGATTCCGAACACCAAGGGACTTGAATATGAACCGGAATTTTGAAGGAACTAACTTAGCCAGTGGGTCCACATCAAGACGCGAAAAATGTGCCTTGCAAGACAAATTGCCGGGGACGTTAAATATTTTAAAAGAGCAAATGAGCCGAGACAAATTAATACCACCCCCTCCCTCTAAATTATCAAGTAATAAGTACCTTAATGAAATCCCTATACCTGTTTTATTAGTGTTTTTTTAGGGGAAGATTTTCTTTTCGTTTTCATAGTCACGTTTCTCCAAAGGATAAACAGAAACCTTCCGAAAAAATGGGGAGATTCCTAGGAATGCAGTTCAAATGATACTTTAAACTGAGAGAATAAACCATGAACATTTGAGGCTAGGTTCAAGAACATTTTGGTGACACTGCGGTGCAAAAGGTACATTTCAAGACAAGCACAGGTGTTTTTCAATGCGCATTAATATATTAAATTACCATATCGTATTGTCAAAAGTAATTTGAACTTTAGACCATACTTAGTGAGTGACTAGGATTTTTTACCGTGCTCATTTCCTGACGAGAAATCGAAGTTGCCTCCCACTCCCCCTCCCCCACAATTTTTTTAAACCTTCCAGCCAATTTTTTTGCGCACATTCAAATTTTTTAACTCCAAAAGTGTTCCTGATATTTATGATATCTGGTCGATAAAAGCCGTTCTATGATTATGACGATTTGAAGATACAAATTCGTCATTCAAGGGGGGTTGATGAGAGCAACGCAGGTGCAACGTCATAAACCGTAATAACGACAAGTGCTTAAAATTTCCACAAACTTAGGAGCGAAATGGTCTCGAAGCGGTATAGAAGAGATTCCCTGATTTTTCCATGACATTTTTCATTCCCTGACGAATCTCGGGGAGTTCAGGGAGTCTGAAACACCACACTTTGGGTATGAGTTTAACCAAAGGCTCGTCTCGTCACAAGTTTACATCAAAGTCGACCTTAGGCCAGGAAAGTGGCAAACAAAGGCTTCTGTTCGGAGGGATCTCGGCACTTTTCTGCGTGCATCGTCTCCGGCTAGATTCAAGCTGGTCACAAGCCGGCTTCCCGGTCTCCCGCGCGTTAAAGTCTCTCGACTGTGCTGCCGTGCTAAGGAAAAACGTCGTATGAACCTTCAGGCGTTGCTAAATTTCCTTTGATAAAACACGGATTTCCTGATGAACTGGTGAACATTTTCCTTTCAATTTTTCAGATAATTTTGCTCGCAATTTCACCTCAAGATTCTGAAAATTTAAAGGAAAAATAATCATAACTTTCCTAAAAATTGAACATTTTATTGAAGGGAAGGCGACTCTCAAATGTTCATACGGCGTTCTTCCTTGGCACGGCAGTATGGTTCGTGAAGAACAAAGCAAACGGCTTGGCTATTTGGACTAAGAGTATCGAATCCTTACAGAAAATTTCCCCGCACACAGAAAAAAAAGGAGTAAATTTTACAGAATGGGCCTGTTGCAAACTTTTGCAACGGTAAAATTAAGGGTGTTTTCTGACAGTAGATGTTTCGAAAATCACGATGAGCGCATTGGCAAAGTTTGAAATGCACTCCTAACTTCACAATCTGCGTTTTCATTAGCTTCCCGCTTTAAAGACGATACTACGGTACAGGTGAACATTTCGTTAGAGGAGTCATTCCATTCAACCCTTTCGCAATAGCAACGCTTAACATTGCCGACTCTTCCGCGCGCAATCGCAAACGGGGGCACAAGGTCAACCAAAGCGGATCTTCATCAGGACGAAGAAATCGCGAATGTAAACAAGCTGGGTTGTTAAAAAATGGTTAGAATCTCGTCCAAGCACATGTGTTTTGGCGGATTGGTGTCGGTAATGTTGAATATTGTGAAGTATTCCAGTGCACAGGGATTGGGTAGAACGACTCCTCTAACGAAATGTTCACCTGTGCCGTAATATCGTTTTTGAAGCGGGAAGCTAAAAAAAACGCAAATTTCTTACCTACGCAGATTGTGAAGTTAGGAGTGCATTTAAAACTTTGCCAATGCGCTCATCGTGATTTTTGAAACATTTACTGATTATATTTTTGCTCTTAGCAAAAGTTTGCAACAGGCCCATTGATCACCGTGGAAATAAGGAATCCCATGGCCAGTGCTAAATGACTCGCTAAATTCATCATACGACAAATACGTCTTTCTACAGCTCGGTCTGGATGGTCGGACCTTATAGCGAAGAAGATTCGATTTGCCTCTCATTGTCGGTGAAAACTAGTTTGATGAGATGGCGCAGTTTGACAAGCTACGACGAAAAGTTTGGCCAGCAGGACCGGGCCGATGAGATACTTGCAACTCTTTCAGACTCATGGATGGCTGAAGTCGAAAATCACGCATCTCAGTTCGCGAAGTTGCAAAACTTTCCATCATCAGTAGATCACACTTGTCAGTGCTATCAAATTTAATGATTTTTAAATTAATATATTTAGATGGAGTACTTAGTTTTGTTCCCTTCTATCAGTTCTTCTGTAAGTTACACTCTTGATTTTTGGCTCGTTTTAACTGGAAAACTATGACTTATTTTATTGAAGATTTCCGTGATCTCACTTCATGTTCGAAGAATACATAGATTACATCGTGAAAATGTGGAGGAATAAAGTTGACACTATTGTGACCAAAAATAAAAAAGAGGAGGAAATTTTGAAACAACAAGATCGAGATACTTGATTTTAGGGTTTCACTAGTGCCGAATTTCCGAATATCATGGCATCCGCTCGTATTACTTCTGGTGATCAAATTCAGGAAAGAATCTGGGCACAACAGCGCGGTGGCGAATCGGCGATTTTTCCAGGGTTGCCATAAAATCCTTTGAAGAAAAACGCCATATGAACATTCGAGAGTTGCCAAATTTCCTCGAATAAAACATGTATTTGTGAGGACCGTTTTGCATGGTTTTCCTTGAAATTTTCAAATGATCTAGATCACCTAAATCGCAAACAAAATTTAAAAAAAAAATACTCAGAAATTTCCGGTAAATTTGAGTATTATTGAAGGAAACATGACAGCATCTGAAGGCTCGTACGGCGGTATTCCTTAGCACAGCAGTATAGAAATCCGGACATTATGGGTCGAATAATAAATGCCCTACTATTTGCATCGTGCATCGTTCACTGCCAGAATTATTACTCATTTTTCATAAAATTCTCCTCAGGTGTATAGGCACTTTATGCGATCCATAGGTTTTAAGCTCATCGGTTTTGATTATTCACATGGAAATTAATGGTGACTGAGCTTCCGATACACGGCTTTTCCAGCGGTCCGGAGCGCCGAGAAAAAACTAAGTCCGTTAGATTCCCTACAAGATGAAGCTTTTTCTTTGGGATTCACAAATGCACGCACCCTCCTTTGCACCAACACAGCTGCACCCGCTCATGTGCCTAGAACCACATCCCACACACGTACGAGAAGGAAAAGTTTTAGTGAATCTGGCACCATGAACAAAAATGTTTGCACGCCTCTTCCCCTTCTGGAGTTTTTATTTTAACAGGTGTGTTTAATTCCTTTCACTTTTTCAAAGAGTGTCTCATAAGTCGCGGGAATATCAGATTTCGTCCGGGTTTTGTTAAATCTATCAGTAACGTTTATCTAAAGTTCGTTATTAGCTGATGACTCGATCGGCGCGGTGCACCCTCAATATCGGAGTCTTAAGGTAACTCATGTGTATACGAGAGGGAGAGGGGGGCATTCGCTAAATGCATATCACGGATTATAAGTTTTCTCATGATTTTTAATTTTAAGTTGAAGTGTGGGAGAAAAAAATGTTTAGGTTTATTGCGAGGGGGTCAAGGGTAAAATGGTATGTGCACGTACTGGAATTTAATCATCATCTGGTCCCGTAGTAGTGTGTCGTGCTTTGGTCATTAATCGATTGACTACCATTTGGACCTATGGAAAACGATCGATTGTCAGACGGCAAAAATCGATTCTTTACTATAGATTCAAAGGGGAAAAAATAGATTGCTGATAACGATTCTCGGCTCG